AGCGTGAGGGGATGATATACACCCAGTCTGAGCGATTCTCTCGTATGCTACGCAGAAAACTTTCTAATTGTAAGAAGCGAAGAGACGGTGTGTTTCTAAATGAAATGTGCGTTTGGGCGAAGAGTGATTTTAAAGTTAGCATATTTAGAAACATTTGGAGACTGGCCTCCCAGTCTTCAGATCCAAAGAGTCTTTGAGATCCAGAACTGACCACCAGTAAAAATAGTGAGATCTGAAAGACCTTAATTGAAGCTATTTGACGGTCACGGATAGCCTCAGATGAATTATACCGGCATAAGTTTGTGTATAATACCGTAGTCAGAGGATCGAGCATGATTCTGGCATAATTACTAAAAAATTCTTGGGCGTAAAGGTGTCAAACTGCGTTACAAAAAGTCAGTGAAATCTTAAATTATTTGTAAATAAATTAATCTTATCTTGAGAAGTTGCATGGCCACTGTCAAACCTGGTTAACCAATTCTGTTTAACGCACCTCCTCGAATAAACGCTTGAGCACTTCTTCAAAATCTTGGCTGAAAAATAGAGAGCTTATCAGAATAAGGGTGCTTTAAAGGAGTGGTAACTTACTATGAAATTATTAGCTTGTGCAGATTCAGCTGTAAAAAGTTGTGGATAAAGTGGTGATAGAAACAAGTTTTATTTTCGTTAAAGAAAGCGAGGGAGGAGAGGAGGTGGGGGCAAGTTGAGAGCTCTATGTAACAGCGCATTTCAAACTTTCTCACTTGATGATTCCTTTTTAACTGGGTAAATAAAAGTGAGAGTTAAATAGGTTTCGGACGCATTGATCATTACGTGAATTGGTTTAATTTGTCTTGGTCACAATAGTTTCCGTTTCGCTAAAGATAATAGTTAATTGACATCACTCAATCTCGCGCATCAGCTTAATGTGGACTCTACTGTTATGTAGACCGCCAAATAGGTCAAATGCTCCCCAATAACAGCGTTTTGCGAAGCCGAAACGTATGTTTATGAGCAAGCTATAGATGAAACGGGTAGAGGTAATGGATTAGATAAAATCATATCAGGCGTGGATAACTTGCATCGCTCTCCTCTAGTTTCGGCTTTACTTTATTGGAAACTGTCAGAGTCAATCCTTAAAATATACAATGTTTCACTGATTTCCCTTACTCGATTTTTTTTTGAACAAACGTAATTCCAAAAGAGATGCGTTTGCAGTGAAACATTACCTTCTTTCTTAGGACTGAGTCTGGCAATTTCTGAGGGTTTTCACGGACTTTCGTCTGAGATCTCGATTTGCATATTTCGTTAACAGTTGTATTGCACCACACAAAAGAAGGGAATCATGATTTGTCACATTTCCCAAAACAATGAGATATGAGTCATGTTCTTCAATCTCTGGGTTTCAATGCCCAGAGCATGTGCAGCCGATGTATAGAAGTAATCCCCGTATTCAGGCGGATTGAATGTCACTTCAAACCCTAAATTCTCTAGTTTCTTTTCCATATCTAGCATTCCAGCTTTCAAAAGAGATCCAACAAACCGAGACAAAGATTACTTAGACAGCAACACACTGTCAAAAATCCTCCCCCTACGAACTTTATAACGCACTGAAACATATGCAAGTAGAAAAGAAGAGACGCGCGAGTTAGCTTCCGGACATTTCTGACCACACGGTACATGTAAAAATAAGAAAAAAGTAAACGAATAGATAATAAATAGCGATTACTCTTCTTGAACCTTTAACATTTTACCCTTGACTTTCGTCAAAAACCTAAACTCAATTTCTTTGGAGGCCGCAAACTTGATATTTGCTTCAGTTAACGCGAGTTAACTCTAATTAAACGAATTCAAAGGGTATGTAGTTTTGTCAGATTTTGACGAATATTGGTAGGAATATTGGTCGAAATATTTTCTTTTGTTCGACTTCATAATCGATCGATTCTCTCTGGAACCAATAGGAATGTCAGTTAAACAAACGCCGTCAGTTTTATTAGGTTTCGACGGGCCGAACCAAAAAAAAAGAAAAAAACACCATCAAAACTCTTGCTATTTTCAAAATCTATATGCTATAAGCACTAGTTTTGCAAGCGCGTTCAGAACTCCCTCATACTGTTATTTAAGAGTTTGTTTTTCGCTCATTTTCCTGCCTGTATGAAGAATATGTTTTCACTCCGGTCCTCCTCTTATAATCTTCGTGGCAACTACATTCTTCCACTTAGTAAACCTAAAACAGCTTCCTTTGGTCTCAATTCCTTTCCTTTTTAATATTTTGAAACTCATAAAAGTCTAAATTTTCACTATTACCTTTTGTTGCACTAAACCAGAAAAATCCTCATTTATCTGTCTATAGCATACTTCTACCAAAGAGTTTTATCTCGGCTAGTTGTATGGAGGGTCCCACTTTATATTCATCAAAAAGACCTTCCTTTAAACCTAATCTATCAATGTTCCTTGTCTCGAATGAGACAGGAAATCATAGTGAACTGAACTTTGTTAACGTTAGGGCCCATCCTTACCTATGTATTCCAAGCTTACCTCTGGAGAGAAAGTCTGCACCATAAACGTTCACAGTACGAGTTGTATGCAACAGGTTAGAGCCTGGTTGTTCTGGATTATTGAATCCCAATGCTTGAATTTGTCTGAAAACAATCCTTCTTATGTGAAGAAAGTCGGTACTTATTTCAGGATTCATCAAGGTGAGAGAAATCGTCTAAAAATGTATCGTATTCTCGTTTGGTGTGTAAAAGACATTTCAAAAAGGTGATTTTGACGGAGTTTTGTAGTTTCTAGAGCCACGTCTTAATGAACGTAGAACTGTCGGAAGCGATCACTGATTGTAACCATACACTGGATATGACTATCACTAGAAGTGATAACCCCACCGTCTGTTCGGTATATGTCGGCCGTGATCTTGGGATCTCAGACAATGTATGATAAAGAGCGCACGCTACGGCGAGGTATGGCGAAACCTCACTTGAACTCGATAAATAACTTTTAATAGCTTTTAAAGGTAAATGGAGCCTCAAATGGACGACTTGTTGATTTCATAAGTTACTTTAATAGATGATGACAGTCCAATTTGCAGAAGCTAAAAAAAGTGAACTGATTCCGTTGTATTTGAATTACCTCTCGTTATTTCAGTCTAGTGAATTCCTTTCCCATCTTGATCACTATCTTCGAAAAAACGGAAAAATTGTGGAAGCACACGGATTTACAGAGTCAAAAAAACTTCTCTTGACAGGGTAGATACATCTGCATTTTGAATTAGCACACATAACTTAGAAGTGCTTTTCAAGGCAAATGATTGTGATTTGGTACCTTCCCTCGTGTCTATGTCTAATCACAACTGAACCTCCATAGGTAGTTTAACCATTTTCATATGTTGCAATTTCATTACTCGTGAGCTTTTAGGAAGGGTTTGAAATTATATGAAGAAGTCCCGTGTCGATCATTTAGAGAGTAAATGAGTTAATACTGCGCTCTTATCAATGATTTTTGTCAATTAGGTTAAGAGTTTTGTTAGTTGATTTTGACTGCACACCCTGGCACTTTGAGAAAAGCCTAATTTATGAAACACTTCTTGAGAACAGTACAAACAATTACCTCAAGAGGTCCTTACAAATGAAAGAATGTTAGCGAAATGTTAACAGAATGTTGATATTTCTGCACAGAAATGTGAAGAAATATCGAAAAATGTCCTATTCTCGTCCTTTTGGAGCGCGACCGATGAAAACTTTACGAAGAAATACAGTGTCACGCCAAAGCGATAATGTACATGGTAATTGAAAATGACTGGTGTTGCGAAAATGACTAGAGGTTCAAGAAACTGAAGGAACGTATACAATCCAAAATATTTCAGATCGACGAGGCACGGCTAAACGATACTGAGGAGATTTATAACTATTATATATCACGCTCAGTTTACACTGGGCTAAGTGTCAGCAATAAGGCGTTGGTTGGCACGATTTGATTTGAATCACTGTTCTTTGAGAGAATTCTAGTTCACCTGCATGAACGGTGACTTATAGGAAATGATCCATCACTTTCATGTTTCAATCTTTAAGGGCTTCCTTTCTACAGATTCACTCACATTCAACAAGCGATCACTAAGCACATGGCATGACCAAACTGGGAAGTGTCAATCACACACATGATACACCTTTCTTCAAATTTCGTTGTTTCCTCTAACTTCGACGAAATCTATCTCGATATGAACGAAATATTCAACCTGCGAACAGGAGCGTGTGTTTCAGTGTGTAAGATGGTTGTATCAGCATCCTGAAGGCCTCAAAAACCAACAGTCTGGAATCTGAAATGAAATTTAGCATATAGGGGACCCCGGCACATTGTAACATAGAGCTACACAGAAGGACTATTTTTTGCGGCTGATTGCCATGGTAACGGCATAACAAAATTATTCTATTTACACCGTACAAAGACATGACGCTATCGACATCGTCGATCCTCGGAGCGAGCAATTTCCAAAACCTCTCCTGTGAAACGGTGTTTTCACAAACAAAGAGTTACAGTTAGGCAATCCTTTCCCGCGGATTGGTATCAGATAGACAATATCCATAGGAAAGAAAATTGCCTGAGGTCAGCCTTGCAGTTTTAGCCATGTCACCAGCGTTGTAAAAGACTAGGAACGACACTTTATTGAGCAAACTGGAAGTGAATTCATGCGGTATCAAAAGCAGTTTATCGGCGGCGTAACTAATCGCCACATTATAAAGTTGCAGACAACCTGCACGTGTCAACTGGCGTATCTACAAACCATTAAAAGGAAAGAAAAAGAAGAAGGAAAAGAAGAAGGAATGGATGAAACTTAGACTTGGGTTCGGATGAGCTTTGTTTTGCCCGTATCGTAAATGGGTTCTTGCATATAAATTAATAAAAAAATAATAATGAAATAAAAAACATTTTAATAACGCAAAAAACTATGCGCATGTTCAAAAGCGTTTTATCATGGACCATAAATTAGTGCTGAACGCTTTCATAAAAAGAAATGTTTTAACTTTTTTCTTAAAAGTAACTAGGCGGCCAGGGATCTGATTGGTAACGTACGGCAAAGAGTACCATAAGGCAAGGGCAGCATGAGCAAAAGTGCGATCCCCAAGCCTAGAACAGTTGACCGTTGAAAGGACAGAAGAGATTGTGTAGACTAATGAAGAGCATAGTTGGAGGCAGGCTTTAGAGATCTTAGATTGTTTAACGACTTAAAAACATAAAGAAACAAGTTTAGAATTGAACTCTGAATGATACAGGAAGCAAGTGTACGTCCATGAAAGCCGGTGTAATGTGTTCAAAGTTCGTAATCTGGAAAATCACCCCAGCTGTGGCATTCTGAACTTTTTATAAACAATCAAATTGATATTTAGGTAGAACAAGAGGAAGTGAGTTGCGGTGATAAAGGTGCGGAGATACAAAAGCGAAGACCGGTGTCTTTGTCGACTCCATGGAGACATATTTTCTGCCCTGTCTGATGCTGCAGAGTCCACGAAAAGCCTTGCTTTAAGTCTCACTGATGTGAAAATACATCAGCATCCGAGGCTTTTTCAACCTAACAGACATCGAAAACTGAAAATACAACAGGAAGCATGTTCCATTATACCTGGTGTGGATTAACACCTTAACTAAGACTCGGGCTTTATTCTGTAATCTTGAAATAGTGAGCAATAATCCGTGGTAATCCCATACTTAAACAATCCACACGGAGCCTCAAACGTCATTTTACTCCGAGATCCCTGTATGTTTTAAAGTTGTCTCACTGAAACGGGACGTCCACGTGTGAAGGAATACCCTCCCTCAATAATGACTAACTAGAGATGAGGGAACTAGAAGTCAGCTTATTCAGTGTACGCAACAACGAGTATGAGTAACTTTATCATGCATTTTCGTATTCGAGGTGACTGGAAACCAAAGGACGAGTGTAGATCACTACCTCTTCCTTATTCTATAGTGTGCGTTTTGCGTTAAAAAACCATCTTTAGGACCCTATATTAGAACTGTTTCATTAACACTTCTTGGAACATTAATAAACTTTATCAAAGGATAAAAGTAAAATCTGTTAGACACCCTTTTCTATATGAAGTAAAATGTCCAGAAGAGGAAGTTTGAAAAATACCCCTAAAGTAGTCGAAAATATATTGAAATAGAATTCGCCACAGGCCGATCTTAATGTAAATGCTAAATTTAAAAGTTAAGCATATAGGATTCGTGTAAAGCCTCGTCCAATTTTCATATGACCCTTACTTTAAGAATGCACTCTAGATCTTCTATATACCCTCCGGTGAAAAGGCTTCCATTGCATGTGCGTGCATTATGAACAATGTACGACAAGCTAGAGCCTGGTTGTTGTTCTGGATTGTTGAAGCAATGTGATTTAACTTGCAGAACTTCTAACCGAAGTAACTGAAAAATTGCTTTGTCAAACATTTCTGGGTGAAAGAGCAGAGGACACACCAATTGCTCGCATGATTTTTACATGTTTTTGCTGGTGCTTGCTGAATACTGCAGTAAGCAGTCTCGATCACCGAAGACAAAGAATCTCACAATTTATACGCTGAGACTTCCCGAGCGAGGGTAACGCACTTTTAAAAACTTTATTGTCAATACTGATACCTTTACTTCATCTCGAGTGTGGACTTCCTGAGGCATGTTTTTGGAAGGACTAGTAAACGCTAGCAACTTTACCTCTGATTAGTAGCAATTAGTGCGGTATATGCTGCAGTCATTCGCATTTGTATTAATCTGATTTACTCCAATCCTTACAATCCACTCAAAACTCCCTCGTATCTATTATATGGAAGAAGGGAAGATAGTTGACTGGGTTCAGTTCTCGGCATTAAAAACTATCACATCACTGGGTCATTCTCAATGACCAGTTTTGACAACGAAATTAATTCAAAATATATATATCATTGCTTCCAATGTGACATATAGCTCAGCCATCCCCAGGCTTGTTTGTTTGGCAATATCATATTAAATTATCAATGCAATATGTAAGCGTTAACTTTCGGACCAAATGAAATATTTCGAAAACGTGTGATATGTTTCTGACTCTATACAACTTTTATCACAAATAACTTACCAGGACTAGTGGGTGATCCAGAGTCAACTGATTGGTGTGGGAATTCACAGGTGGTAAAGCGTACCATACCACGTATATTGGGTGACCTTTCAAGCTGGGAGAGGCTGGAGAGCTTATGCCATGTAAAAGATGACTTGTTTTAAGTTCAATGGCTATCAAAGAATACAGGATTTCTGGGTGATAATAACAGTACAAGGAGTATTAAAGATCGAAGCGAAAAAAACCTTTGAAAAATGAGGGGAAATGGGGTGAGGGGTTGAAGAGAGAGCAGTCACCTTAAGTCATTCGACTCGTCCTGTTTCTTTCTTTTTTCCTTTCAGTTGTGTCTTTTTAAATTGTAACCTTTTTTCTCTCAATCTGGCTGGCTATAGGTAGCCTGCAGCGCAGTATACTTCAATAAATAACACTTCACTCAATCAATCAATAATCAAACAACGTTATTAATGTGTCAAACTCTTCTAGCTGGCCACAAGTGGCCTACTAATCGGGGACACCTAGTTAATAAAATCTATATAAAGCTTAAGGTTACATTTKATAATATTTAAAGTAGAATATTTACTATGAAAATTCATTAATAGTATTAAAATATTAACTCTGTGTATAAAATAAATAATAGTGATGACAATAAAATGGTTTACAATGTAATTTAGAACATAGCTAGCAGAGCCGCGCAATCCAATTCATTATAAGAAAGCGTGCTCAAAATCCCAATAGTGCACGCTGATAGCTAGCGTTAGCAAATCGCTTCGCCAGAAAATTTTTTTTTCGCACGAGCGGCCATTGTTAGCGCGGGGAAAAATAATATATTTTGCGACAATAATGTATACAGAGACTCGGCCTACCAGTCCCAAAACGAAGACAGTTTTCTGATCTTTTCCCGTGGGTTAGAGTTCTTAAATGCGGCAGAAAAAAAGAAAAACAACGGAAAAGGAGACTCGGTATAAGCACCGTCACGATTCACTTCACTGTCCGAGGGTGAAATGCAACAAATTTTGACAGAAAGACACTCTAGTAAAACCAAACAAATGACAAACTGGTCTGTTTCAACCTTCAAAGGTAAGCTTAAAATTTTCCCTTTTAAAATTGTTAAATATATATTCACAGTTGTTCTCGGGAATAGTAAAACTCACGGAAAAATTGTTTGCAAAAGGATTAACACATTTAATTACATCAAATTACAGATGTAGCAATAACAGTCTTTCTGTCTGGTTTTCCTTCACGAAAATAACTTTTAAATGGTTTCTTTTTAGACTCAAAGAAAACTTGTTTTTATTTTAGCTTGGTGTAACGAGAAACAAATACAAACTTCGATGGAAAACATGACGGTAGGACAACTGGACACAAACCTGCGCCGGTTCTATGCCGAGGCGAGGAACAAATCCGGAGAATCCTACAGCAAATCCTCTCTCCTTGGTTTCCGGCACTCTTTTGAGAGATACCTGAATGCACCACCCCTAGGCAGAGGGCTCAAACTGAGTTCAGTTCCTCGATTTAAACGATCAAATGAAATGTTAAACTCTCAGATAGTCCGCTTGAAGCGCCAGGGCAAGGAAAATGTCACCCACAAGCCAGCCATAGAGAGCGAAAACTTAATGAGGTTGAGAGCCGCGCCAGCCATTGCACTGAGTAATCCACTCGCCCTCCTCCGCAATGTATGGTTTCACGTTATTTTATTCTTTTTTCGGAGAGGAAGAGAAGGTCAGAGGCTGCTGAAAAAAACGAGCTTCAAGTTTGAAGTTGATGCGTCGGGAAGAAGATTTGTCACAATGGCGCATGATGAAGCGACAAAAAACCATCCTGAAGGAGTGACTGATGTATCCAGCAACGAGAAATTGCCAAGAATATATGAAACACCTGAAGAGAACGACGGATACAAAGCTTTGAAGTATTACATGGCCAAACTCAATCCTCGGTCCGATGCTTCCTTTCAGTATCCGAGAAAGAATTCTAAGTGGAATTATGACGATAAAGTTTGGTTCGACGCCCGACCAATTGGTGGCAACAAACTCGACGGGATGATGAAAAGCATCAGTGAGGAAGCAGAACTCTCCAAAATGTCCACCAACAACAGCGTCAGAGCCACCGAAATCACCTTATGGTCGAATGCTGGTGTAGAGAACTGCCGCATAATGGCAATCTCTGGTCACCGTAGCGAACAGAGTCTTACATTACAACACGCAGCCCCCGACATCACAGCTCCGCACCTGCAGCGAAGTCCTTTCGAAAAGCTTGACCTCTGACAGATCCGAATCTCTTGCCACTGTCACAGCCTTAAACATACAGAAAGAAGTGCAGGAAAACGGCCTCGTTGTGTCTACTGCAACTGAGAAAACCACAAGCGGCTTCGGATCTTTCTTTAACAGCTGCACCGTTCAAAATGTCCACGTCACTCTTGGATCAAATTTTAGCCACACTTGTTGACATTTACTGTTATACTGTTCTCAGTGTTTACTCAGACCGTTTTGCAATGGTCTATTTTCGGTAATCGATACACTTTTTGAAGCATTTTGACTTATGTTAACTCTTTTCCTGCGCGAAGTGATCGTTTTCTCAGAGAAACAGAAAATGTGGCGTGTTGGAAATTAACCAATTAAACCGTGGAGTTTCTTCTCTATCGTTAGGAGATTTTATATTTAATCAGGAAGTAATTGTTAAATAAAAGTTCCATTCTTGAGCTTGATTTCTTTTTTAAAAATATACAATTAAGTATTTAAACTGCAGTAAAATAAAGCTCGAGCCTTAAACAGAAAACTTGAAATAAAAACTATTTCCTAATTTGCTCGATATTTCGCTTATCGCGAACAATCAATTCTGATATTGTTGTCCTATTTTCGTGTCAGATTTGATGCAAAATTCCACCGGCTATGTTCTAAAACAATTGGTTCATGCTTTTAGCTGTGCACTATCGAGTTATGGAGCACTTGGGAGTTTTGGAGAGCACTCAAGAAGCTAGAGTTGCCCTTACGCTTCTTTCGTGCTCTCCAAACTTCCCGCGTGCTCCATAACTCGATAGAGCACGCTGAAGCATGAACCAATTGTTAAATAATTAGTCTGAAAATGAGCGAAAGATTAACTTAATAAGTAGAGTCTCAAGTGTTACACAGGTAACAATTTGAACATTTGTTCTCAACTGTAAGACTTTAAAGGCCGATAACGAGGCTATGGCCCTATCCTTCTCCGACAGTTTGAACCATAAGAGTGGTTCAATGTATCTAATGGAGTGCTTGCCATATTTTACAGTATTGAGCCTAGGGATAAAGAAGTCTGAATTTCGTAGATCATAACTAATCGATGATGCCCTGAAAAGATAACATTCAAAGCTGTTAACTTATATTTCACTTTATACATGAGGATTGCAATATCCTGCAGGCGTCTATTGTAAAGACTCGTCATCCGTGCACGTGTTAGTAACTTGCCCTATGACGATTTCCAATCACAAAATATAGCTCGCAGACGCCGTTCATTGACCCTCTCAAGCTTTCTTTGATCTGAGCCTCTGCAAAAGTGCCAAACGAGGCTGCAGTCTTTCAGATATGGTAGTATGGCGGCCTTGTATATTCTTAATTTTACTTTCATTGAAATCGTGTTGCGCATTCTCATTAGGCTGCTCACCCGCATACCATACTCCAGCGATATATTCCATTATAACTAAATCTTAGCCAGCGCAGCCTATTTTTTACCCTTGTTGCCCTCATTCAGTTGATTATAATGAATTATAAATTCTCATCAGTTTTTCTGTTCCTCTTGCATCACTTACTTGCATTTCAAGATTCGAAGACAGCCAATTTCCCAAAGTTGAAAATATAATTTCATGATATATAGAAGCTCACTTCAAACGATTGTTTTCTTCAGTATTTGAATCTCACATCCCCTATATCTCCTAATATTGGATTTTACTTATTCACTCTTGTGTAGCGACTTGTCCTACAACCAACTGGAAAAGTTACCTTCAGGAGCCTTCCTTCGTTGTTGGTATATTTACGAACTGTAAGTAGACGTTTTTTCGTTTGCTATAGGGTTGTAAATCATTTTCTTACCTTAAATATCTCTATTCGTGTGATTTTTCTAAAAATAACTGTTTATTTCATGGCCATATCTCAGAAGGACTGGTTTAAACCAAGTTGAGTTATTTCGCTGGTTAAAAACCGATAGTGACCGCGGATTAAATTTTTTCCATCTAGAGCGATAACTTTTTAACATATGTTTTGAAAGCGCAACAGGTAGAAAAAAAAAAGAGAGAGTTCACCTTGAGCAGAGGAGTGTTTTTGTTTGTTTTATTTTGTTTTGTTTTGTCTCTCTTTATTGCGCCGATGTGGTTACGAGGACGGATACTTTGTGTTTATTATTTGGACATACGATAACCATATTATCAACTGAGCCAATTAAGTCTGTATGAGAGAGTTATGACATCGTTTGCTGACACAGAAATCCCTGCGTTCAATCTATTTAAGATATCTGTTGTTCAGGGTGGTTCAAAACTTGTAGACCACCCGCTCGGGTAAACAGATCCGATTATAAAGTGGCTGCGCAATTAAGCTTTATCAGGTTTCCACTTCAACAATAAATTACTTGAAGGTCATAAAGTGCTAGTTGGTACAAGTTCTTGGCAACATGCAGCGCCGTGCAGCTTTAAAATTTTGATTTTTTTCCATCACTTTTCTGAGTTTAACGCCACACCCTGTCAGGAAACAAGTATGAAGGCCATTTGAAACCTCAACATGGAAGAAATATCTATGGTCATTTTGATATTTTTGCGAAGCAGATATGGTCGAAGGAAAGTTTAGGATCCCCTTTTGCCTTTTTTGGCGAGCTCAGACAGATAATAAATGATTTTATGGGGATGATCCTTTTTGAATCGCAAAGGTCTTTACCTGACATTAATTCTGTCAACTTCAAGCAGACGGATACCTGGAGAGCGTTTTCTTCCCAGTTAGATAACAGATAATTCAAACCACTTAGTAATTTATTTCCAGCTTTTCCAAATACTATTCTTCAGACATTTCTCCCGCAAACTTCTTTTGTAAATGTATTCTAGTCCATTTTGATTGGTCTGTTTCCATCACTAATTTGTTCAACCTCCTCATTACCAACTGATTCAAAGGATTCAAAGATATTAAGAAAAGGACTTAATTTTCTATTGGCATGTATTATATAACGTGGCAAAACATCAATAAAAAGTGAGCTTTTTAAAACCAGAAGTAAATTAAGTAGTGGTAAAAGTAAATTGAAACTGAGTGCGGCAGATATTATCATGTTAAAAAAGAGAGGCAACATTTTCATCGTAAGGTTGCATTCTGAAAATGGATTCCCATCAGTCTCATTTCTTTGGCAGGAGAAAAGCCATACAGACTGAGCTCGCGGTCTCGTCATCTACCCCTTAGTTTAAGGAAAATCTTTCCAAGAGCACTTGTTAATTCCTGTTGTACGAAGTGTTCAGAAAGACGTCTGATGTTGTCACATTTCTTGTTATCTTGTAAGAGTGTAATTGCAGCATACAAGGAAATCAACCTGTTGTTTTTTCCTTCTTTCCAAATGAACGCAGTTTCCTGAACAACAACAACATAAAGAACTTCTCCTCTGACCAACTACCCCCTGTATACTCGGGGAGGAGATACCTTGAAAACCTGTAAGTTCTGTGGCTTTGGATTCTTACTCCATTCTAGATCAGTAGTTCTACCAAATCTAAAGCTCTGAAATACATATAGCAACATATCCTCCTCCGAGATACTGAGTGGGAATATGAACACTTTTGCAATGCCAATTCTAAGATGATTTCAGTAATTTTAGTTTAAATGTGCTGGTAATTCTTAAACCACAAAATTGTTCAAAAAGGAATCGCGATGACTGTACTTGTGAAGTTGTGGTCGCCACACTGGGAAGGATTCATGAATTGGAACTGGCAGCGGGCGAAGCGTGCTCAGCGTAGACTTACATTCCTCGAGTTAAAGAATATCAGTTGGTAACACATGAGGTTGAGAAAGATGTGGTCATAACTTTTGGAAAGAAAACTTTCTATCTTCAAGGTGAAAGTGGGTTGTTTCCATCCTTGTGCGCCACAAAATGAATGGGCTACTTGTTTAATACTGGTTGCATCGCTACTAGATTTCTGTAGCTCCTTTAAAAAGCTCTTAGATGTTCAATTTCTATAGTTGGCTGTGAGTAAATTATTTGAGTAGCTCTGCTCTGAGCCGCTTACGCAGTGACGTAACTGTTGTCGAGTTTTAAAATTGAACTCGCAGAGCGAGCACAGCACTTAAATAATGACTCTACATTTGCATCTTTTTCTGAATATATGTGTGGTCAGATTTTTAAACGATGGTCGAGTTTGTGATTTGAAAACTGCAATTTCACGAAGTATCAGCATTGAACATGATAAGAAGTTTCACTCCTTAGGAAGTAAATTGTGATTGGCTAGTCTTGCGCTTTATAAAGAGAAAAACCCAGCTCTCAGACACACATAATCAACTCTTGGTTAATATAATGGTTTTAAGCTGATAGAAAATTCTTCCAAAGAGTGAACTGCAAACAGTTCATTGAAATTTTTAAACAAATTTTACCTCTGAAGAAAGGCAGACGTTTTTGATAGCAGGGAAAAGACAGTTCAAAAACAATTAGCGCCTTAAATTGATTTTGGAGGATTCCAAGGAAAGCAGACAAACAGGTTTTTACACAATTCACTGAGCCTGAGACGTCGTTCGTTTTTGCATTCATCTTGTTTTCAGTTATAAATTACAGCTTAAAGACTTATTTCAAATCAGTATGATTATTCCATGTTAGAGCGAGTTCACAAAAAACTTTTCAAAATTCCAGAAAGATTTAGTGTCCTATTAGGAAAGTGAGTGCAACAATAATTTCCTTAGGTTTCTCTTTTTGGCGCTTTCGGAATAATCAAAAGGATCCTCTTTCTCGATTTCTGTTCTTAAAAAATAACTCAAAGTTTATAACGCACCATAATGCTATTGAGTCAACTTATGATATTAAGCTGGAGGTAACCACGGTTTTCTCGCAGTATTTATTGAGGATGTTTAGTTTGTGGTATAACTGGCGGTTTTCACTTCCAGGGAATGTAATGCATTCTGAACCCTCTTCAAATACCAAAAATCCAAATTGGAGCCCTAAACTGAGCAAGTTAGAGAAGACGAAAAAGAAAGTGGTCGTAACAACAAAAACTATGAGATCAGCGGTGCCCTTTGCTTAGTGGCAATCAATCACTTTTCTCTCTCCCACAATATTTCTTACTTCAAATCTCTTGGGCTACATAAATTCCCAAGGATACTATCCCGAGGCAAAAATTGTTGCGCCGAATTTATTCTTGCCCGAACTCGATGCCTGCCAGGCGCGATCTAAACCATCCGGTATAAGTCTCAGAGGATAACGAACAATAGGGCTATTGGCCGAAAACGAATCATACCAAAACAATAAGCAAAGTTTAATAGGACAGAATTGATCAACTTATATATAACTGATAATTGTTAATGAGTGTTGTTGACCATCAAACTGTTCTCTGTAACATAGTTAGACTAATTTGAAATTCACTTGAATCTTCCTTCTTTTAAATCATCAGTGGACGCTGTAATGAGTTCGTTTCACTTGCATTGCTGAGAAATGTCTAAGCTTTTGTTCAAAAATCTTTATTCTTGTTACTTTCAATGTTAACTTTGGTGTGCAACCACAGTTTGTCTCTATTTTGTTTTACATCTGTGGACAAGATCAAAAGAGAATCGTACACTCTCAACTGAGTAATCGAGGAACGTCGAGAAAATAAATTTATCTTTTTATAACAGAACTCTGGACTTCAACAAACTGGAGACTCTTCCAAGTGATCTCTTCAAGGGCTACAGGCTAAATGATCTGTAAGTTATTTGCTTTTTAATGAATTTTGAAAATCGGAATAAAATACTAACAAATGACTGCATTTGAAAAACATCGGGTACCTGTATAAATCCTCTTTAACAACATAGTTAATAATTAGGGGGAAAAAGATCCTTTCTATCACTTTGAATGGCATATCATTTAGACGTGAGATAATTCATTCCAAAACAATTCCATGTTAACCGGCCTCAGGTTTAATCCGTTCATGTTCCTCTGTCCATCGAGAACAAGCCTTAGGCAAACAGCTGCGCATTTTGCAAGTTCTAGTCAGTACAAGGAATGAAATTCTTTCTGATACTAACGGGTATTTAACTTAATGTGTTTTACAGGTGGCTGGGAAATAACAACTTAAAGAACTTATCTGAAGATTTCTTCGCTGAGCAATATTGGTTAAAATATTTGTGAGTAGCAATTATTTGGCACCTTTTTGAACAAACATTAGAGAAGTAATTCAGTTTTCTCTCTTTTGTTTCTGACGGGATAGCATATGTCAGCAGCGTGAACATGATCTCATTTGAAAAAGTTTAGTTTTCAATCCAAAGTGTAATCATTCAAAAGCGTAACGTTTTCAGATTTAAGTAGGTCGTATGTGTGCTGGTGGTACCGAGTAGTTACATGTTTGTGCGTGCGCATTTCTGGGTGCTTGTGCGAGTGTGCTGATTACAATGGTTGTGCAACACATTTATAAGTATCTAAACGTGACCAGCACTACAGAAATGAAAAACAGTTCAGCCTGGAAATCTCGAACAAGTTACACAGTCAGATCATTTGAAAGGGACAACACCGATGTATCCTTCGGGCTCAAGTATCTTATTAAGAGTCGATGAAGACGACAAACAAAGATGTTAAACACAATGGTTCTATCAATAAATTGTCCATTGCAAAAAGGAAATTTGGACACCCTTGCAAAAGGAAATTTGGACACCTTTCGAACGCTTAGAAAACACCGACGGAAATGTTGCCACGGCAAGAGTAGCTCTACCTGACTTCCGTAAGGCTTTTGACCTTATCGACCATAGTGTTCTCGTTGAAAAACTAGCAACATATGATATTCCGAGTCAAACCAAAAGCTGGATTGTTGACTTTTTGATGAACCGGAAACAAAGAGTTAAACTTGCTCAAGATTGTCACTCTGAATGGTGCTCTGTACCATCCGGCGTCCCCTAAGGAACAAAATTAGGTCCCTGGTTATTTCTCATCATGATTAACGATTTGGACACCCCAGCTGACTTGTGGAAATACGTGGACGACACATCTTGTTCCGAAATAGTTACTAAGGGCAGTGAGAGCAAACTCCAAGAAGCTGTGGATGACCTTTCAAGACAAGCGAGTATCGATGGAATCCAACTGAATGAGGCCAAGTGCAAAGAACTACGAATTGGATTCTCTAACAGTAACTACGATTTTGAACCCCTGGTCCTAAATGGCAAACCCCTTGAATTAGTCACCAGTGCCAAAGTGCTAGGCGTGACCATTAGCCACGATTTAAAGTGGAACATGCACACCTCTGAACTAAGTAGAAAATGTTCCTCTCGTCTCTACTTTTTGAGACAACTGAAGAGATCCGGAGTTGCACCAAGCGAACTTGTGCAATTCTATGTGACATGTATTAGGCCCGTCTTGGAATACGCAAGTCCTGTATTCCACCGTTCTCTACCAAACTACATCAGCGAAGATTTGGAACGGATCCAAAGAAGAGCACTCAGAATCATCTATCCTGACCTGTCATATAGTGTAGCACTAGAAACAGCTGGCCTACCGAAACCTCACGAGAGGAGGGAAAAAATTTCAACCAATCTGTTTGACGAGATATTCCGTAACCCCACCCTCAGCCTCCTCCCCTAAAGAAAGAGTTGTAGATACGCACTGAGGCGCAAAAGTGATTTCACTCTCCCCATATGCAAAACCGAGCGCTTGAAGAACAGTTTTATTTTTAGCCATATCTATAAGATGTAGATAATTTTCCTTTTTTCTTAACGACGAAGTCGTAATATTTTATACCTCCTTTTTTATCATCTGTATTTGTAAATATTCCGTAATTCAGCCTATGGCTGCAAAGTGTTTATAATTAGGTATCTATCTATATATCTATCTATCTATCCATCCTAATTTAGAGGGATTAGTGTGCTGTACCACGTTACTTTCTAAGCATGCTCAAGATTACTACAGATGGACCAAGAGGTCTTTGGAAACGCTGTGTTGCTTGATGAAAATCAGTTGTGATATATTTGATGACTCGAGTTAAAAAGTAAGAATCGAGTAGTAACTTTTGAAAGACCCGTATTAAAATCCCAGGCGACGTGTTGGAAAATAGACACCATAGCGAGGCTGACAGTGACCCGCAGAGCATAAACAAAGGAACCAGGGCTCTTTCCTGCAACGATATCACGGAAATAAAAGCGAATAATGTAATGGACATTTTTCTCTCTAATACAGACTCAAACTAGAAAACCACGCCGAAAATGGGGATAGTGTTCATGACGTGGATATTCTAAGTACAATAAGATAACCAGAAAATCTCTGCGCTAAGTTTGAAGCATCTTTCGTCCAATTAGATCTTTTCTTATCGTTTTCTATATGTAGGCGGTTGAGTGGTAATCGGCTAGAAAAGCTACCTCGAAACATTTTTCAAGAAATGTACGCCTTGGAGGAAGTGTGAGTATACGTTTGTGATTTCTTTTTAAAAATTCTTCGGCAAAGTTAAACATTCCTTTCCTCTGCATTGCATTTTTATGTGATCGATCGCTCTCAAGTCGTTCAAAATATGGTTTAAAAACCTCTCGTTCTTGATTTATCGGTCGGTAGTAGTCCAGTAGTTAACCAGTCGGTTAGGGAGTTTGATCAACTTTGTGTGAGTAGTTAATAAACCGCAGGTTCCAAAATTATAGGACTGCGCGATGAAGTTCTACTTTCGTTGGAGACGAATAACGTACCGGTCTCGAAAACAAGAACTTGCACTTTTTTTTTTTCATATTGAAAGGAGACTTGAAAAATTCAAATCCCAAATTTTAACAGAACATTTTTTTTTGTTATGGGTCATATCATATTGGGCGTGTCCAGATGACCTTACCAGGGGGATTGCACTCACTCCTTAAACAATTGTCCAAAGCTAGTCCAATAACAAAAAGATAACCTCGAGTTATGGCCAACTGAATCCATCTTCTCCCTTATTGACCAGCAAACATTTTGTTTAATGCTTCCATCCATCCTTGCTAATATGAAAAAAATAAAAAAAAACTACTACGCAACTCACAAATCACCCGTCCACCTTACAAGTCTGTTAAACCATAGTTAATAGAGCTGTTAAACCATCGGATAAGGTGCATTTATTTATTGAACGTAACAAAAACCAAAACAAAATTGAACGGAAAAATTTTAGCTTTTTCTAGGGAGGGACGCTTCAAGTATAAAATCATGAGTTGGTAGTAAGATTTTGAAACTGATGTGAAAACCTTTTTTCAAGTTCAACCCAATATCTCTCACTTAAAATAAGTTTTTTTTAATAAATGACCGTGATTTTTGTTGTCAATACAACGATTACTGGAACTGATTAACGAACTGCATCTGCCTAAATTCTATCAGATAAAAACTTCGGCACAAAAAAAAATTAATCCAACAGAGATCCACATCGCCCTTGGAAATATAGTTAGTTAAATGAATTTTCGTTTGTTTGTTTACTTTTTTTTCCTAACTGGCAATCATCTCGTTCTCCAAACACTTTTTTTTAGGGACTTGTCCTACAATCAGTTGCAGAGTTTGCCTCGAGGAATACTAAGCAGTAATACCAAACTGAAAGTAATGTAAGTAGGATTTTTTTTTGTACGAAAAAAAAGAATAAAACCTTTGTAGGTCAGTGTGAGCATTCTTAGATGGTGGTCCAAACTAGTTGAGAATATCGCTTATTTCTACCTTTCTCGAACTAAGTTTGTTCGTTTGGAAATTATTGAGTGTTATTTAGAGATAGATGGCATAATACAATGAAGTGTCTCCCTGCCATTATTGTCTTAACAGAAGGTCTCTTAGCCTTAAGCGTGGAATAAATATGTTCTTTGGGTACAGTTGCTGCATATTGGAGATTCTTGATCATAATTGATATATTTAGAAACACACAAAAAAGCTTTTCATTTCCTGATTTGGTAAAAAATTACTACTATTGCATTATTAGCTAGCTGATTTGGCTCGCATTACAGAAACGTTAAGTAGCGGGAATTTCCCATCTTCCAAGTAGAATTTAGGTTCTTAAATGTTAGCTTACTATTTGCCTCAAAGGGATTTGTCAAACAACAAAATTCAGCGTCTTCCCGAAGATGTTTTTGGCAACCTTCCTCAGTTAAAAAGGCTGTAAGTGGCATTTTTTACACCTTTACAGCGAGTGAAATCATACATTTTATTTTAGAGATTTTAGTAAACCTTTGCTTTGTNATTTTTCAAAATTACTACGCAACTCACAAATCACCCGTCCACCTTACAAGTCTGTTAAACCATAGTTAATAGAGCTGTTAAACCATCGGATAAGGTGCATTTATTTATTGAACGTAACAAAAACCAAAACAAAATTGAACGGAAAAATTTTAGCTTTTTCTAGGGAGGGACGCTTCAAGTATAAAATCATGAGTTGGTAGTAAGATTTTGAAACTGATGTGAAAACCTTTTTTCAAGTTCAACCCAATATCTCTCACTTAAAATAAGTTTTTTTTAATAAATGACCGTGATTTTTGTTGTCAATACAACGATTACTGGAACTGATTAACGAACTGCATCTGCCTAAATTCTATCAGATAAAAACTTCGGCACAAAAAAAAATTAATCCAACAGAGATCCACATCGCCCTTGGAAATATAGTTAGTTAAATGAATTTTCGTTTGTTTGTTTACTTTTTTTTCCTAACTGGCAATCATCTCGTTCTCCAAACACTTTTTTTTAGGGACTTGTCCTACAATCAGTTGCAGAGTTTGCCTCGAGGAATACTAAGCAGTAATACCAAACTGAAAGTAATGTAAGTAGGATTTTTTTTTTGTACGAAAAAAAAGAAAAAAACCTTTGTAGGTCAGTGTGAGCATTCTTAGATGGTGGTCCAAACTAGTTGAGAATATCGCTTATTTCTACCTTTCTCGAACTAAGTTTGTTCGTTTGGAAATTATTGAGTGTTATTTAGAGATAGATGGCATAATACAATGAAGTGTCTCCCTGCCATTATTGTCTTAACAGAAGGTCTCTTAGCCTTAAGCGTGGAATAAATATGTTCTTTGGGTACAGTTGCTGCATATTGGAGATTCTTGATCATAATTGATATATTTAGAAACACACAAAAAAGCTTTTCATTTCCTGATTTGGTAAAAAATTACTACTATTGCATTATTAGCTAGCTGATTTGGCTCGCATTACAGAAACGTTAAGTAGCGGGAATTTCCCATCTTCCAAGTAGAATTTAGGTTCTTAAATGTTAGCTTACTATTTGCCTCAAAGGGATTTGTCAAACAACAAAATTCAGCGTCTTCCCGAAGATGTTTTTGGCAACCTTCCTCAGTTAAAAAGGCTGTAAGTGGCATTTTTTACACCTTTACAGCGAGTGAAATCATACATTTTATTTTAGAGATTTTAGTAAACCTTTGCTTTGTGGCCATTCCAAATAAAATGCTATTACAATAAACATATCAAAGTAAACTGCTGCATGCGCTTAATTAGCTCCAGTATATAACAGAGTGAAGAGAGGTCGAAACCTCTCCGCGTTCTGGTATACAGGGTTAACTTTAGTGAATTTGGTCACCATTAGCAGTGAAAAGAAAATATAGATTAACAAAGTGAGATTGACTGTCTCTTGTGACTTAATTTTTTTTGCAAAGCGACCAGGGAAGGTTTAGTATATTACAGCCCAACTACCACAAGATTGATTTGCGATA